CCTTTGCTATTCTAGAATTTTTCTGGTTCCAGATGAATTTCAGGAGTGATTTCTCTAGATTTATAAGATACGTTGATGGTATTTTTATTGGGATTGCATTGAATCTGTATAACAGTTTTGGGAGAATGGCCATTTTCACAGTTTTTCTTCCTATCGATGAGCAAGGGATGTCCTTCCATTTTCTGAGATCATCTTCAATTTCTTTTTTCAGTGTATTATAATTTTCCTTGTACAGGTCTTTCACTTCTTTCATAAGAGTAATTACTAAATATTTCATTTTTTTGCTTACTAGTGTGAAGAGTGTGGTTTCTCTTATATCCCTCTCTGTGATTTCGTTGTTAGTGTATAGGAATGCTATTGATTTCTGAGTATTGATTTTATATCCAGTACATTACTGAATTTATTTATTATATCTAAGAGTCTTTCAATGGAGTTTAGGGGTTCTTGTCTATAGAGCATCATGTCATCTGCAAACAATGATAATTTAAATTCTTCTTTTCCTATCTTTACCCTTTTTATTTCTCTCTCTTGTCTAATAGCTCTGGCTAGTACTTCCAGTACTATATTAAATAGGAGTGGTGATAAAGGACATCCGTGTCTTGTGCCTGATTTTAAAGTAAAGGCTTTCAATTTTTGGCCATTTAGTATGATGCTGGCTGTTGGTTTGTCATAAATGTCCTTTATTATATTGAGGTAAAGACTATCTATTCCAATTTTCTGTAAAGTTCTTATCATGAATGAACATTGAACCTTATTGAAGGCTTTTTCTTCATCTATAGAAATGATCATGTGATTCTTACTTTTGGCTTTCTTGATATGGTGGATTACACTTATTGATTTACATATGTTGAACCATCCCTGCATTCCTGGGATGAATCCCACTTGGTCATGGTGTATACTCTTCTTGATGATTTGCTTCACCCTATTTGCCAATATTTTATTGAGGATTTTTGCATCTGTGCATTAGGGAGATTGGTCTACAGTTCTCTTTTTTAATTGGGTCTTTCAGGTTTTGGTACTAGAGTAATATTTGCTTCCAGGAATGACTTAGGAAGGATTGCTTCCCTTTCAATTTCATTGAATAGTTTTAGGAACTCTTCTTTGTATTTCTTGTAGAATTTTGCAGTGAATCCATCTGGGCCTGGGCTCTTCTTTGTAGGTAAAGACTTAATTATATTTTCAATTTCATTAATAGAGATTGGGTTATTCAGCAGTTTTACATCCTCTTGGTCTAGCTTTGGTACTTCATATGTTTCTAGGAATCTTTCTATTTCTTCTGTGTTATCAAACCTTTGAGAGTAGAGGTTTTCGAAATAGGTGTTGATGATCTTCTATATTTCTGTAGTCTGTAGTGATTTCACCTTTTTCATTTCTTCTTGCATGAATTTGAGCTTTTCCTTCCCTTTTTTAAAATAAGGTTGGCTAGGGGCTTACAGACTTTATTTTCTTTCAAAAAACCAACTCCTTGATTCGTTGATTCTTTGGATCGTTTTCTTAGTCTCTATTGCCTTGATTTCTGCTCTAATTTTTATAATTTCCTCCCTTGTTTTGACTTTGGGCTTGACTTGCTCTTCTTTTTCTAGCTGTTTGAGGCGTAGCGTCAGGTTATTTATTTGTATTTGTTTTGTTTTCCTGATGTGGGAACTCAGTGCAATAAATTTTCCTCTGAGGATGGCTTTCATTGCACCCCACAGATTCCGGTAAGTTATATCTGCATTTTCATTTTCTTGTAGGTATTGTTTAATTTCTTCTTTAATTTCCCCTGTGATCCACTGATTACTCAATAGTGTGTTGTTCAGTTTCCATGTGTTTGTGGGATTTTTTCAGTATCTTTTATCATTAATTTCTAATTTCAAAGCGCTGTGATCTGATAACATGCAAGGGGTGATTTCAACTCTTTTGCATTTGTTTAAATATGTTCTGTGAGCTAATATATGGTCTGTTTTGAGAATGACCCATGTACTGCTGAGAAGAATGTGTAGTCTGATGTTGTTGGCTGGAACATTCTGTATATGTCTGTCAAGTTCATTTGTTTACAGGTGTGATACAGTTCTGTTATTTCTTTGCTCATTTTCTGTCTGGTTGATCTGTCCATTGGTGTCAATGGCATGTCAAGATCTCCTGTTACAATTGTGTTACTGATAATTTGAGTTTTCCTTTCTGTTAATACTTGTTCTATATAACTGGGTGCTCTGGAGTTTGGTACATATATATTTAAGATAGTTATCTCTTCCTCTTGGAGTTTTCCCCTAACAAGTATGTAGTGACCTTCTTTGTCCTTTATGATCATTGTTGTTTTAAAGTTCATGTTGTCTGCAAACAGAATGGCTACTCCTGCTTTTTTTTTTTTTTTGATTCCTGTTTTGTGAAGTATTGTTTTCCATCCTTTGACTTTCAGTCTATGAGTATCCTTCTGGGTTAGATGGGTTTCCTGTAAACAGCATATGATTGGATTTTGTTTCTTGATCCATTCTGCTAGTTGGTTTCTTTTGATTGGTCCATTGAGATCATTTAATGGTTATAATTGTTATATTCTGGTTTATTGTTGACATGTTATCTCTCTGTTGTTGCATCTTTATCTCTCTGTTCTGTTTAATTATCTGCTTTGCTTAGTGGTTTTTTCCTTTGTGTATCTAAACTGTCTCTCAATATTTTTTGCAGAGTTGGCTTGGTGTTCAGGAAGTTCTTCAGCTGTTCTTTCTCATGGAAGTATCGTATTTCACCATTGATTTTGAATGATAGTTTTGCAGGGTACATCAGTCTAAGTTGGAAATCATTTTGCTTTAGGATCTGGAATACTTCACTCCATGCTCTTCTTGACTTTATTGTTTGTGCTGAGAAGTCTGCTGTGATTCAGATAGCTTTTCCTTTATAAGTAATCTGTATTTTCTCTCTGACAGCTTTTAATAATCTATTGTGTTAGATTTCTGGGATGGTGATTATTATATGTCTGGGTATAGTTTTATTTTGGTTATGATTATTTGGAGTTCTATGGGATTCACTGAACCTGATGTTGGTTTCTGATCTCACGCTTGGGAAATTTTCAGCTATTACTTCTCTAAATATCCTCTTGACATCCTTTATGTTGTCCCCTTCTTTTTCATTAATCCCTATCAATCTTATGTTTTTCTTTGTGTCATCTTGCAGTTTTTGAATTGTTATTTCCTGATTTGTTGTGAATTTTAAGATACTTCCTCTCCTGTTCACTAGATGCAATCTTGTCTTCGAGGTCTGAAATTCTATCTTCACTTTCATTGAGGTGGTTTTTATAGCTTTCAGTGGAGTTTTTGATTTCCTGTATGTCTCTGTGCATCTGCTTTATGTATTCTGTTTGTTTCTTATATTGTTCATCTAGGGATTCTATCTTTTCATTTAGTTCCTCCAATTTTTAAACTCTGTTTTCTTTAGATATATTCAGAACCTCTTTCATTTCTTTTATCATTTCTTCTTTTACCTGGGAGATTATTTCGAGTTTGAATTCCTTTAAAGCTTCCTGGAGTTGCTTGTTTATTTCAGTAGCTATTATGTCCAATATCTGAGGTATATGGCGTATATTTTATTCTCTATATATCGCTCCTGGTGTTTCTTGAGATGGGCTGGGGGTTTGAGCTTGTAATTTGGTCTTTCGTTTTGTCATTTTCCTATATTTCTGTGTTTCAAGTGTAATTCAAAAGCTTTCTCAGCATCTGTTGGAAATCCACTTCTATGTTCACAGCTCCTGGGTCTCTGGCACCCAGTTCCCCCAGGCCCTATGCCTCTGGAACCAGTAGCCATCTTCTGCCTGTTTAGAACTCCGTAATTCCAGATAAGCTGGGCTCCAGGGAGACTCTGCGCCCGCCTACTTGCTCGAAACTCCACAGTTCTCCCAGTGCAGCTGGAATGAGGAGGCAGATGTTGGTGTCTGGGGCCCACTTAGCCACTTCACTGCACCCAGAAGGATTGAGGGTCCCGAACAATCTGGGCGTGGGCAGAGTGCACTGGGCACTTACCGCAGGCCCTTGGGCCTCTGGAACTGATGATGCTCGCCTGCTTGCTGAGAAATCCACAGTCCTCCAGACACATGGGGAGGCAGACACAGGTGCCCCAGATCCGACCAGCCCTTACTCTGCACCCAGAAGGCGTGAGAGTCCCAAATAGGCTGCGCTCCGGGGATAGTGTGCACCCACCTGCTTTTTGGAAACTCCACAGTTCTCTGAGTGCAGCTGGAATGGGGAGGTGGATTTAGGCACCTCAGACCCACTTAACCACTTCACTGCACCCGGAAGCCTGGAGGGTCCTGAACAGTCTGGCCTTGGGGCAGAGTGCCCTGGGCACTTACCACAGGCCTCAGGACCTCTGGAACCGGCGATGCTCGCCTGCTTACTGAGAAATCCACAGTCCTCCAGACACAAGGGGAGGCAGATGCAGGCGCCCCAGATCCACCCAGCCCTTATTGTGCCTCTCATTGAGTTTTAATCAATTAATTTTATCTAATAATTGTTAATAGGATATTGATTACAAAATACATGAGATTGGTTCTACACCCTCAATGACTTACATGAAATCATGTATCATATTTTCTCTTATTTAGAGAATAAGATAAATTACTTTTCATGTTTCTTAAAAGATGAAAAATACTGTTGCCATTTTACTTACTATTTATTGTTTTTCCACTATTAATTAAGAAGGATTAGAATATTTTAAGTATCTTTTCATTTGGGAACTTAAGTATACTGTAGCCAATCAATTTCATCAACATGGGAGATTTCTTTTCGTACCTTTTTCATGAAAAATAAGAGACTAAAAGCTAAATTTCAAAAGGATGTAAGGAACTACTCTCATGGACCTAGAGAAATAATTTCTCTCAACTTTCTGCAACAGCTGAAAGAAGGATCATAGGGTATCTTATTTGTGAGTTTTCCAGCAAGTTTGCCATTATTGAAGTGAATAAAGAGCTAATGGATCACCTTTTCTTCTTGCAATCGTATTTTTACTTCCTTTTTTGTGTTCCTTTTACATAGCTTTACCGAGTTCTAATTCAAGAATGGCTCTGATACGGCTGTAACATGGTATGTATGATCTGTGACTTTAAAATGAGAACTAAGAAGAAAATAAAGGAATGGGAAGTTAAAAGTCCTAAGGGCACAACTAGTGAGCTCTTTATCTAGATTTACCTTCTTGGAAGGAATGATTCTGCAAGTGAAAGCCTGAGTGAAAGTAATCAGCACTCCAAATAAAAGGCATCCAGAGAGGAGTAGGCCCCAGTGTGAAGGGGGCTCCAGGCTAGGATCAGTATGTACAAAATAGAAAGGTAGACAAAGAGAGACAAAATGGACTAATTTAACTCGTGTTATATACAAAAGAGGGTGTTAGATACAGATTATTTTGTATTTTATTTCCTAAAGAAAACCTTGTGCACTATACTTTGAAATCAGTGTCAACATTTTTAAAGCATCTTTTTGGCTAAAATTTGTACCTTTACAAAGCTTCAGTCCATAATAAACTTATTTCATGTCTTTTGGGGTGACTAATAATAGTTTGCCATTTTATAATGTTTAACACTATTGATATGATCAGAGTAAAAATGTATGTTCTTAAATTATTCTTCATCTCAGTGTTAGGCCTATCATTACTCTATGCCTTTGCATTAAGTAGGAATTAAACGATATTTTTAAGTTTCAGCATTTGCTAGGTTTGGTGTCTCTAGCATGTGTTCACCAAGGAACATGCATGTAATTCCTTCAGCTGTGCAGCTTTGTGGGTCATCTGAGAATTAGATATCTGAGCATATATTACAGTAACATCCAGAATGTAGCCTGAGAAGTTTTCTACAGCACATGCAAACAACAGTGCTTTCCTAAAAGTGAATTATCCAATTTTAGTAAGTACTTTTATCATTCTTTAAAATTACAACACTAACTTCTAAAATTTTTACTATTTTCAGTGTCTGTTACTGTACCAACCTATCTGATTTTCAAAAATACTTTAAAATGATGATAATTATCATTTTTCTGTATGGCAATTGAGACCCAGCAGGTTGAGTACAGCACCTTGCTTAAAATCACAAACCTAAGCTGTATATATCAGCAGTCTGATTTCAGGGTCCGTACTGTCAACCATGCCCTGCATTGCCACTCAGAGAGGATACAGGGCAAAATAAATGATTCTGGTGACAATCAAAATTTCAATCATGAAACAGATGAAGAATTTTTAGATTATGATGACTGAGTTATTTAATTGAAATTAAACCTGATGAATAATTAAAATATGAATTTGCCTTTTCTGCATTTCAAGTGAATTTAACTGGAAACTAGCTTTTAAAAATGTGTGTCTTTTGTTATGCCAAGAATCTAGTTTTCTATAAAATCTCTTTTGCTTTTTTTTGTTAATAGAATTTTGAGTATAGATGACTCCACCTTTAAAGTACTCATGGAGCTTGAGTGGCATCTTAAATATAACCATTTGGTAAATGATTTTCTGGAATCCATTTATAAAATCAATTTAGAGCTTGCACACTATAATTTTGAACTGTTTTCATTCCTGGAAAGTGATAATTTTATTTTGGGTATTTATGCATGAAACATTTTATGATTGTATGGTTCCATTAGTAAATGTGCTCCTTACATCCAACCATTATTTGTCACAAATAAAGATGACTATCATCTTAGCTTTCTTATCATGGAATATTTATTATGATTATTGTTATTGATTTTATTAATGCAGCAGCATTCTATTTTTATGTGGTTTTTGAAACACATTCAGAAAAATTAAGCTTACAATATAATGTATAAAAATGGCAAATAATTTTAGCTGTTCAATTTGCTAAAGCAATATAAAATTACTAAGACTTTATATGCAGATAATGCTTTTGATGCCTGGTATATAATTACAGCATGGAAAATTAGCTCAGGTTAAAAAAATTATCATTTGCACATTTTCTTTGCAGCTTTGATATTGCTCTGTCTGAAGTTAACTGATGATCTCATGCTGATTTGAGGATTGCATATATGAGGTTTACTTTCTCACTTGTTTGAAAGAATTTGTTTCTCTTTGCCACATAATAAGATAGCTCTTCTCTGTCCTATCCCCACCAAGTTTTCATATTGGAATATTTTCATGTTAATATTAATTGTTAGTGACTTAAAAATTGATGTGTCTCACATCTTGAATGATAGCTCTGCATTTTAATACAAAGCACTTGAAAATGGGATACTTTATAAGAATAAATATATAAATATATTACCTTGCCTAATAGCAAGTGTAGCATTAAAATTTCAGATCTGGGTGTGTCTATAATTCTTATATAGTCATCTATGATTATATGATTATTCCTAAATGAGGCTATTATAATATTGAGAGATTTAAGGATAATGTCAAGCTGGGTTTGAACAACGGTGAGGTAACTGAGATATTTTGCTTGAGCACTAATGTTAAGACAGCAAAATTATCACTATTCATCATAAAATATGTTCTAATGCAATATATTTTTAAAACAACATGAAAGTTTGATACATGTCAGATTTATTCAAATAAGTAGAATCAATACCAGTGATTTCTTTTGGTCACAGGCTCTACATGCTACTGATATCTAGCACTCACTAGATAGACAATAGTTCTACTATGTAAGCATTTAAAGACATATCAATTGAAAATCAAAAACGATGTGAAAAATAACTTTTCTTTTGAGCTATTATACAGATAAGCCTAGGGGTCTAATGTATAGCATGGTGATTATAGTTAATAATACTGAATTTTGTACTGGAAATTTACTAAGAGAATAGATTCCAGGTGCTTACACTAAAAGAGAAAATGGTAACTATTTGAAGAGATAGATTAGTTAGCTTGACTGTAGTCATCCTATGTATATGTATATCAAAACTGCATGTTGTATACATTAAATGCATTATTATTAAAATAAATTAGTTAGCTGAAAATAAATAAAGCACTCTAGTGCCATTTACAAGCATTTACCTCTGAGATTTGATAGATAACACCTTAAAAAGGAGCAGATCAATTAAGATAGAATAGCATAGGGGGTTTCAGAGAAGACAGGGCTTTTCTGGAAATAGAAGGCTTTTGGGAATGCGTGACAGATGTTGAAATAAGGTGGAGGAAGCAATTAGGAGGGTGCTGTAAGAGATCCCAGAAACTAGGAGCCACATTCAGAGGAGGCTGGAATTGGAAGAGACAAAGCCAAATATAGAGAGAGCAGAGTTTGCTGTTTTCCAGCTGAACTTCGGTTACTCTATTCCACACATATTCATAGTAAAAGGAAGCCAGATTTACAAACCAAATCACTTCACTAAAGAAATTAATTCCAGTTTATGCATTTGGAGGGACCAAAGCCTGATAGACTCATTTGTTCTTCTATGGAAGCTATTCTTCAAGGAATGTACTTTCACAGGTAGAATATCTAGCAGTTTAGGGCCTGGATTCTGGGGCCAGAATGCCTCGGGTTCAGTGGAGTTGGTGAGAATAATACCACATTTAGAATCCTGGCAAAAGTTTTAGTGATTAAATGTTCAGTAAAATTAGTTGCTGTTATTGTTGTACATTCATATTCAGGGGAAATGTCTAAAAGGGAGTGACTCCAATTTTATAACCACAGAGAAAACGTCCTCCATTTCTAGTACAATAATCTTGTTCTGGGAACAAGTTTCAAGAAGCTTGTTCTGGGAACAGGAACAGAATAAATCAGACAATAAGTATTTCTGGCTTTGTGTAGATGAATGTGCATGGTTTTGCATGAACAAAACTTTGTTATACAAACAGGCAGTAGTCCATACTTGATGTTGTACCTGATGACACTTGTTATAGAATTAATGAATTGAGTTTTTCAATATAAGAATTGAACTGAGATCACTAGACAAATGAGGTTTGGAGGACACTGAAGAAAAACATTCCTATATATTCCTCCAGGAAAGGACCTGAGGCCCCAGTTGCTGCAGGGCTATTGACAGAATTCAGCTACCAGGCTCTTCACCTGCACAACATATCTTGCACAAGTTCACAAACCTTTCCAAAGAAGTCTGTCTTGGTTACTTTTCTCTCATTGTTGAGACAAAATACCTGATGCCCCAAATGATGGAAGGAAAGATTGATTTAGCTTACAGTTTTGGGTCGTTCCAGTCCATACTCAGCTGGCCCCAAGGCAGGGTTGTGTGGCCGCTGTTCATGGAAGCCAAAAGTGATAAGACCAAAAAGGGCAAAAGCACTCTTCCTTTCCTTTCTTCTATAATATGCTGGCTATCTGCCCCTGGGTGGGTGCGGCATTCTCGTTAACAGCACTAGACAGCAAACCAGACACCAACGCTGGACTCAGCTGCCTCCATGAATGCATGAGGCTTGGAGTGGAGGGCATCCAAACACAAACTGTAACAGTGTCTGTATCTAAAATTGATGGAAGTAAGAGTATATATACCTGGCCACTCAGTCCATCTGAGAGTACTTTAAATTATCACTTAGTTGCAGCCTCCACAGGTCAGTGGAGGCTGTCTTTGAACGTGTACTATGGATCAGTTTCTTTATTGGTTCAATTTTACTTTCTTTCCTCCTTCTGCTGTGTTGAATGCAGGATACTTCAGAATCTGTGACATCCTTCAAGGGTCTGCTTTCCTGGAGCACTAACTGTAATTTGAAGGAAGTAATAACTGTAAAAGAGAAATAACAACAATTTAACAGAAAATCTGATGTGACAAGAAAAGGAGAAAATTCAAAGAATAGGACAACAAATAAATTAAGTAAATAATATACTCAGGTAGGTTTAAGATGTTATAATCATAAAATAATGAGACATAAATTAAATTTAGACACATTTTATAGAATAAAAACATAAAAAACAATGTAATAAAACTAAAAAGATATGCACACTTCATATTCAATCCAGCACTTTTTTTAGGAGCCAAGATATGAAAACAACCTATGTGTCCAGCAATTGATGAATGATTAAAACCTCCAGCCATAAAAAAGAGTGAAATCCTGTCATGTGCAACAATATAAATATGAAATGCAACTGGAAATAAATATGTTAAGTGATACAAACCAGGCACAGAAAAACAAACCTGACATGCTCTTACGCTCATGGAATCTAAAACAGTTCATCTCATAGAAGCTGAGGGTACAATAGTACCCACCAAAGGAGGGGAGGACATAGAGGAAGCCACGATAATGAGAGGCTGATCAGTGAGGCTCAGTTACAGTTACACAGGAGAAAGGCATGCTAGTGTGCTACTCAAAGAGGGGTACTATCGAAAGCATTAATGTATTGAATATTTCAAAAAGCCAAAAGAAAAGGTTTCTGAATGTTTTACAATAAAGAAATGGTTAATATTACAAGACCTAAATTTATGTGTACTCTGTTTTAAATCTATCTACCTATCTATCATCTATCTGTCTACATTACCTTAGAATATTATGTATCTCATTAATATGTATATTTTTAATGTTTTGTATCAGCTAAATTTTTAAAATTTTATTTTTAATTTTATATAGAAAATATATATAAGGAAAATTTAGAGGGAACCTATGTGGCAGCACAATTTTTTTTAAACAGGAGTTTTAATAAAGAGAACATAAATTCTAGAATATTAAAGAAATATTATCATAGATAAGAACTGAATCATTAGACTAAATTTTAGAATGTGTTTAATTTTCAGTAACAGTCTAACGTGCAAGTTTCCTTATGTGGGAAAACTTAATTTATTATGAGATAGAATCTCTTTGTGGATTTTGTGTTTCCTGATTACTGATGAGGTTGAGCCCCTTATCATTTATGTATTGTCTACTGAGAAGTCTTTTTTTTGTTCAAGTTTCAGTCATTTCCTCTGCCTATTTTCCTTCCTTGTTAACTGTTTTCTTTTTACTGATATGAAAGTGTTATTTCTATAACTTTTTATTGGTAAGATAATTTGGAAATTAATTATATCATCTTTGTTTATACTTTCCTGATTTATAATCCAATTTATCAATCCTTTGTGATTAAAAAGCTTTGTTTTTTGTGTACTATTTAAGAAATCTTTTCCTACTCTAATAACTTGAAATGTTCTTTTTTCCTGGAAGTTTTAAGGTATTGATTTTTATTTCTCACCTAGCATTAATCTTATGTGTAGCATGAGTTATTATAATCGTATGCAAATTACAAGGCTTTAGCTACAAGGCTGTTCATTTCTCTATTATCTGTCATTTCTGTTATAAACCTACCATTCAAAAATATGTCCATTATTAGACTTTGTACAGTTCTATAATTATTTATTCATCATTTTGCTTGTTCCATGTCATCTATACTCTTTGAACTTCTTTCTTTCTTTAAAATAATCTTCTTTGTCCCTTCCATTTAAAGCATGTTTGTAGGCTGGGGATGTAGCTCAAGGGCATAAACACCTGCCTGGTAAGCACACGGTCCTGACTTTGATTCCTGGTGCCAAAATAAATAAATAAACAAATCCACACATACATAAATACATAAAAAGAATAAGTGTCCTATAAGGCCAGGGATATAGCTCAGTGGCACAGTACCTGCTTGGCAAGTGTAAGATTGTGAGTTTGATCCCCGGTAGGAAAAAAAAAAATGCTTGTAAAAAATCTGCAGGTTAATTTGGAAAATATTTGATAGCTTTATGCCTCTGAGATTTCCAACAAGTACTTATGGATTATCTGTCTACTCAATTTTTGTGTGTTTGTTTTTTGAGATAGAATCTCACTGTGCAGTTGAGGCTGGTCTTGAATTAGCAGTGATCCTGCTGCCTCCACCCTCAAGTACTGGCATTGCATGCATGTGCCAACACCCCAGACCATTTCTTTGAGTAATACTTTGCATCTATTGTTTTGTTGTTTGTGTTCTCAGCATCATTTTGATGGTGTTAAAGAGATTGTTGTTATTTGATACTTCTGTCTTGATTCCTTCTAAAATTTCATTTTCTAATTTTTAGTACTAATATAATGAACAATATTTTAATTTTCTCACATTATATTTACATAGTAGCCTCACTAAATTCACATATTGCATACTTTCTATATATGAAATTATTATTTCTATGACTAATACCTCTTATTTTTTATAATCCTTATATCTTTTTTTCTCATTATCTTTTTGTCTTAAAATGCTCCTCAGTAGAATGTAGAATAGAAGTAACTCTTTTTTGTCAAATTCTTTATTTCAGGTAAAAATAGTAAAAACTTTACCATTTTTCTAGTTACTGCATTAGTTTAGTTTTTAAAGTTGGTAGTGTATCAGATTTTGAAAGTTTATTTCCTAGTTTATTATCAAATGTTATCTTTGATTATTTTGATTATCAAATGTTATCTATTATCTTGATTATCTTATCTATTATTTTGATTATCAAATATTATCTTTGATTATCAAATGTTATCTTTGATTATTATCAAATGTTATCTTTGATTATTTTGTTATCAAGAGATAGTTTTTTGTCATTACTTTTAATACGTTGCATTACATTGATTGTAAAATATTAAATTACATTGAATGTCTAAACTAAATCCTGTTGGTTGTATGTACTGAGAGTTTAGTTGCTAGTATTTATTCATTTACTTAATTAGTATATATTTGAGAGATACATAATTACATTAATTTTGGGAAATTTATACATGGATGTCATGCACATAATATATTGATACTTGTCGATACCAGTCCTCCTTCTGTCTCTTGTACGTGCTCCCTTTCTCCATCTCCAAGAAAGCTGTATTCTTTTTTAACAGCCTCTCTTCTTTTTTTACTTTTTAATCTACACTTTGAGTTTCTCATATAGGAGAAACTATGTCTGACTCACTTCACTTAACATGGTCTCACATTCCATGCATTTTCCAACAAAAGGCTTGAGTTTATGCCTCTTTCTGGCTGAATAATACACAACGGTGCTGCTGGAAGTTCACTGCTCAGTGGAGGAGTCACAGTGAGGCTTGCTTTACAGTGCTGTGACGTTTGAGTAGCCCTGGATTCCTGAGTGATGTGCTCTCTTTGAGTTGTGGAATACAATCCTGGATTAGGTCATTGGTCTGTGTCCATGAGCACAGAACACACTTTCCTTTTGAGGTCTGCTTCCTTCTTCTATTTCTGCCTAGGGATTCCTGTTTTTACATGATCATATAATCTGTGTGCAGTCTTATTTTGGTTTTATTTCCTATTTGTATCTTTCATTTCATCCCTTTGCCTGAGTTCTCTGGATAATGTTTCAAGAATTAATTGAAGAGTAGTTATGAGAGTAGATGCTTATTCCTGATTTTTGAGGGAATGCTTTTAATTTTTCCTCATTTAATATGACAATAACTGGGTTTGCCATAAATAGCTTTTATTAGTTTAAGGTTCTTGTACACTTATTTTCCTCAGTTGTTTTTTCTACTGTGAAATGATGTTGGATTTAAAACCTATTATTAGCGTATGCTTTTATTACATAGTAATTACCTATCTGGGAGATTCACACATGTACTTATTGCGTCTTAATAATTTTTACTCCAACCCCTTCACCCAGATATTAGATTTTTTTCAAGGACTTTTTCTGCATATATTGTGATGATAGTGTGGTTTTTGTATCCTTAGTTCTATTTGTGTGTCTATTACATTTATTGGTTTACACATATTTCACTATGGTGGTATGCCTGGCATCAAGCTGATTTAGTCAAGGTATATCTTTTTAATGATTCATTGCATTCTGCTTGCAAGTTTCTTACTGAGGACATTTCTGCCTATGTTTATCAAATACTGCCTATAAGGTAATTTTCTTTCTTTTCTTTTTTAAAGTCTTGTCCAGTTTTAGTATTAGGGTTACTTTGGCATTGCAGAATTAATTTGGCCAAGTTCCTTCCCTTTGAATCTCATAAAAGAGTTTGAAGAGCATTGACATTAGCTTTTTTCCATAATGAGTAAAATACATAGTGAGCCTGGGCTTTCATTAGTTAGAGGCATTTTTATTACTGCTTAATTTCATTATCTGTTATTTTTTGCTTAAGTTTTATATATTTTCTTGGTTCAATTTTTATGTCAAATGTGTCCAAGAATTTATCCATTTCTTCAAGATTCTTAAATTTATTGGAATACAAGTTTTTGTAATTGTTTCTTATAATCTTCTGATTTTCATTGGTGTCTCTTGTAATTCATATTCTTCATTTCTAATTGCATTGATATGGTTGTTAGCTTTACTTTTTGATATATTTGCTGCAGCTTATCAATCTCATTTATCTTTTAAAAGACTATTTTTTGGTTAACTGATCCTTTGCATCTTTTAAAATCTCAGTTTCATTGATTTCCACTGTAATTCTCATAATTTCTTTCCTTTTACAAGTTTTGGTTTGGATGGCTTTGTTTTTCTAGAAATTTAAGGTGCATCATTAGGTTATTCATTTTGATGTCCTCTATTTTTTAACATAGAGACTCTCAGCTGTAAACTTTCCTTTTAGAATTGCTTTCACTGTGTCCCACAGATTCTGATACGTTGTTTTGGCATTGTCATCTAAGAATTTTTAAATTTCTTCTTGATTTATTCAAAAGTATATTATCTAATCTCCATGTATTTGTGTAATTTCTGTAGTTACTTGTGTTGCTGATTTCTAGAGTAATTCTGTTATGAACTGATAGAATGCAAGAAATTATTTCAATATTTTTGCATTTACTTAAACATTCTCTAAAGTTCTCTTTGTCAGAATTAGAATAGGAACTCCTTGCTTTCAGGCTTCATGGACTGTCATTTTATGTTCTTTAACTTCCAGTTTATTTCTTTATAAATAAGCTGGCCCTTGCAAGCAAACTACAGTTTTTTAAACTGTCAGTCTATGTCACTTAATTTCCATCGATCAATGTATTAATTTCATAATTTACTTTTGTCTTTCTTGAATTCATTGAAAATCTAATTAATTGCTTTCTACATGTTTTTGGTTTTGACTTTTATCTCTTCAATTATTTTAGCAGAAATCCATTGCAGAAATTAAAATATTAAAGTAAAAATGATCAAGATGCAATATATAAAAATAGCAATTCCCCAAGATGATTGTCATTATAATGACACAGAAAGTTACAGAAACAATAAAATATTAAAATTAAAGTTGAAACATTGACCCACACCCATAAACAGCTGCATACTCTCTTAAGTTATACAACCCCACTTTGAAGAATAAGAAAGAAGAAGGATGCCAAAAAGGTCACTGAATTACATGTGCTGGCTATGGGTAGGATTCAGGGGAGAGCCAACACTCCACTTCATCCTAGGACCAAGTTCTAGGCTGTTTTTACTCCTCCAAGTTCCAGGGCTGCTTTTTTCCACAAGCTTCTTACTGAGTCGATATCTCTGTTCCCTCTGGTGAATTTCAGCCTAAAGTTTCTGTGGTCTTCAAACTCTCAGACAGTTCCGCTGTCTCCCCACTGTCTGTGGAACTCCTGGTTTCCTCTGGGAGCTCATTGCTGTGTAATTTAGCTAGAGTCCTGCCGTGAAGGAGGAAGCTTCCTCTAGTGGTGCTGGCTGTTTCTCTGCACCACCTTCCCCATTTTCCATCGTGCTGTCCCTCATTCCTAACTGCCCCTGGCCTCTGAATTTATCATTTGCTTTTAGAAATTAGCTATTTATTTAAACAGGAACCTCAGAGAGTGTAACGGTGATTGGGGGAAATGGCCAGTTGTAGTTGTCTTCCGACTTTCTTTTCCTTAAAGTTTTTAAACTTTCTTGTGACTAGGAACCACACTGCTATTTGAGATACTGTTTGCTAATATTGTCACACATTCTGGCCCATGTCCTCCCAGGGACAGCATCGGCTCCACTGCCCTTTGAACAGTAGGTACTCAGACCTAAGCTGGCCAAGCACCTGCACTTGGTTCTTGTTGCAGGTTTCCGATTTCTGTATTTTATCAGACTGCTGTTGAGTTCAGCAGTCTGATCTGGTGATGATCTGGCGGTTTATATCGCTCCATCTTTTAGCCATGCTCTGACTAACCTCTGCTCATGGCACAGAGTCCTGTCAGTGCTGATTCCTCTGCACTGCCGTGATGGGGATGTGTGCCTCACTGTGATTTTCTTGTTTTAGGATTTTCATTTCATTGCAGTGTAGGGCAGCATTTCATTTTCATTTCACTTTACTTCATGTGAGGATTTTTATTTGTAATTTTATCTTTGATTTCTATCCTACTCTCTACAATGTGTTTTTTTCTAATATTTGGTTAGTTGTTAAATTTTTTGCTTGCCTTGTGAGTTTTGTTACAATGTTACTATTTATAAAAACTTAGAAAAATGTTTGAAGCATTGAATAATATGACCTTCTTTCAGGATAGAAATACAGTCCAGTCATGAATTGAGCTTTAGAGTTTGGTTCTTCTGTGAACTGCTCTAATTCTGTTTTACTTTTAATCTAAAATATAACTCTTTTGAAAGCTTGAACTGTTTACAAGATCCTTTTCTTATTTCTGAATATAAATCTTTGATTTATATCCTGTTGCTGCCACAAGATTGTGAAAAGCCCAGCTCAACCTCATTTGCAGTCCACCACATCAGAATAATGAATCCGTGGAGCATGGAAGTAGCATCAAATGCCATGCCCAGGCCTACATCAGAGACTTGTTTCTTCTTGGAGATCTGGCGCTTCAAGTACTCATAACCCTAGTAACTTTCTCACACTTTTATGTGCATATCTTTAATATTTTCAGCTATCTTTAGTTGTCCACTGTAGGTAGTTTGTTCGTTTACCTGTGATGCTGGAAACTACACCCAGGGCCTCATGAGTGCTGGACAAGTACTGCAGAAGTATATTCCTGGGCCCAAAGGGGTGTGTTTTGAAACCAACTAGCCCTCCACTTTTTAATAATAAATATCTTGAGCTTCATATTTTTGAAATCAAATTAATAGGCATTATACTTCTATTTTTGGTGCTATTTCAGCTTTAATTAGGAAACTATCGCTTCCTTAATAGGTCAGTATAATATTTGTTTTTTTTCCATTTAAAATTTATTTCCTTTTATTTTCTCAAAGTGACCATCTTGCCTCAGCATGTGAGTGCCAAGGATTATAGGTTTATTAAAATAAGCCCAATTTCACCTACATTTTAAATTTTACTTTTTCAAAGAATTCTTTTTCTAATTAATTTTATATTCCTTGTATGTCAAATTATCTTTGAAAATAAGTAGTCTCAATATCACAATTTGCTAGTCCATCTTTTAGTGTACTCTGACACAC